CCAGTTTCTTTAACAAAAGTTCTTGTTAAAGAAACTGGGACCAAAAAAAAAGCAGGAAATATTGTAAATTGGAGTGGATTCTCACCGTTCCAGTGATGCGCTGCAGTGGGACTCGTTCTCAGCCCATCCAGGCATCGGTCCAGGGCGTGCTGGATCCGGTCCTCTGTGCATGTGGTGTGCTGCATCTTCACCCTTCAGGATCTGCGGAGGGGCGCGAAAACACGCAGCATTATTAATCACCAAAACAACCCACTCCAGTTTTCACTGGAATATGATCTCATAAATGTCTGTGGAGTCATCCGTCCTTCCACAGACTGCATCATAAAAGCAGCGCCGGCTCATTTTTCTGTTATCCTCGCTGCTTTGCATGGAGCCAGATCAGCCGCTAAAAATGAAAATGAGGCCGTGTTGATACACAAACCATAAAGGCTTATTCCTCAGTAAGATGAAAAGCAAAACAAAACCCTTTTCTGTACTGCACAGTTTCGTTGCTATGGTGACGGAAGCATGTCCACCTCAAAACAACAAAACTTATTTTATCTCTACACTGGAACAACCATCTAGAAAGACGTGAAAATGTCTTAAATTAAGTGTATTTACCCTTAATTTGAGCAGGTAAAGGTAAAGGAGAAGAGAATTTTTTATTCTTAAAATAAGATAATTAAATAATATGCACTTAAAATAAGACAATGCAGTGTTTTCTTATTTTAAATGTAAATTGTCTTGTTCTATTGGCAAAATATCTATTTTACGTCCTCAATCCATGATTCAATCATGATTTGGATTATTTCCTGTGTAAAACATTGAAAACATTTCAACGTGGACAATTTTAACACCTAAAACAACCACAATGCAACTGATCTTTTTCCAAAAATTTAAGAAATATTTAACAATTATGAAAAACAAGAAGTGAATACTTATTAAAGGCTCTAAAAACTAAATTCAGTTCCAGTTTTTTAAGCTATTTTCTAAACCCACACGTGTTTTTGAACTTCACTTTTTAATCTTCGATCTATTATTGCATCTGCCTGTTTTTTTTATGCACCAACTGAGGAAAACCCAGGTGTGGCAACATGTTTCAGTTCTGTTATGAAGACGTCTCATTATGTATGAAACAGTGATTTCTCAATCTTGCTCACGCCTGGGAGCAGCGTGAACTGACGATTTAATGCAACAGCCGCAACCTTTCTGAAGCTGATCCAGAAACGCAAACCCGCGAAAGGAGGTTCAGCTCAAAGCAAACGTGCATCAGAAGGCTGCTGCCCGCTGCTTTCATGGCAGCTGCACAGGTTTCGTTTTCTATGAATCCATTTTGGTTCACGTTCACCTTTATTCAGACCGGGCAACTACTTCCATACAAACAATCAGTCAAAGAGGGATCAGTTTTTAAGCTTAATTTCATCCAGTGGCAGTTCTAGACCACTGGAACCAGGGGGCCAGGAGGAGGCCAGGAGGGGGCCAGCATGTTTTGATGGGGAAACAGAAAAGCATGAAATAAAAAAACAGGGCAAAGGATTCAAATATATTTAAATAGCTGCATGAAGTTAAAGTTCTATTCAATTAGGTTTAATTAAAATTCTGTGTCTTATTAGGTAAAAATTAGCCTGGTAAACCAGACTAAATGTCAGATTAAAGGTGTAATTTAGTCAGGCCCCGATGAATGAGACATCAGAAGATTGTTGATGAGAACAACCTTTTGTTTTTCAAACCATGTCTGCTCCTATTGGCCAACGCTCTGACCAATGACCAACGCTCTTAGCCCTGGCTGCTGCAGACGGGCTACTGTTAGCCCTGGCCGCTGCAGACGGGCTACTGTTAGCCCTGGCCGCTGCAGACGGGCTACTGTTAGCCCTGGCTGCTGCAGATGGCTACTGTTAGCCCTGGCCGCTGCAGACGGGCTACTGTTAGCTCTGGCTGCTGCAGACGGGCTACTGTTAGCCCTGGCTGCTGCAGACGGCTACTATTAGCCCTGGCTGCTGCAGACGGGCTACTGTTAGCCCTGGCTGCCATTAGCCTCGGAGCTCGTCTGGTTGCCGTGCTCATCTCAACTTCAGAAATTGTATTTTTAATTACGCATTAAATCGGTAAATGGACCATATATTGACGCTTTAAAGTATATTATTCTCGCCTCAAATGATCTTAAAACTTACTTTTATTGAACAACTGAAAGTGAACTTGTAATTTTCAATGGAGCGCTCCATTGAGATCTGCTGCTGCCGCAGTGCATGCTGCTGTTTCTTCAGCGTCGTGCAGCTTTGTCGTCACGCCCTCAAAACCCCGCCCACTTTGCATCCAGACATTCAAAACACATCTCTGCGTTGTGATTGGCCGGCCAGATTTAGGGCCTGGGGCATTGATCGAGGCTAGACCACTTGCAGGCTAGTTTACTACGCTAGGTCAACATACATTCAGAATTTAGGAATTTTACATATTTTTGACTTGATTTAAGTTAAAATTAATGTTTTCTATAAAATCTGAATTAGAACTTAAGAAAAACTGATAAATTCTGCTGTAAAAATTACTGTATTTGTTTTGAAAAAACATTTAGCAGATAAAAACTGAGATCCTATTTCAATCCCATTGAAGCTTTCACCTTATTGAAATAGATTCAAAGGACCTATCAGTAACCATGTCTGTTCTTTATAAGGAAACCAGCTGATTGCATCGACTCATTGACTCTTCAGCAATCCCTCACACTAAGCATGCTTG